ATCGTTATCGCTCAATCACTAAACACAAGTATAGTACGGTTCAATGTGACACACAGTTTTTATATAACACGGTTTACATTATAATCTACAAATTTCTAATCGCTCTGATCTAATTATTAATCCCCTCCACTGGGGAACAACATATGTATCCGTAAAAGGTTTCCTCGAGTGTTTAAATACCTCCGTGCGTTACTATATATATTAACAAAAAAACAATTAAAAAAACAACTTGCCAAACAAGCCTGACCCAAACAATTCGTAAAACAGTTTTAGAAGCATTTATGTTAAATGGAGCAACTTTGTGTCTGATCGCTGACAAAGAGGTGATACGATTGAATTAAAATATGACGATTTTACGAATAGAATTTTAATCGTGAAACGCGAGGCGCTGAAAAGCGCGAAATTAAATTTCATTGGCCGTAGAAACGCAATGATCGTACGCGCGTGGAAGTAATGTAATGACGAAAATTGCAACGCGACTCAGGGACAATGGTCTTTTCACCGTTATTACGACGTATCGGATGACGGTTTATTTTCGTGCTCTGTGTAATAATCATGATTGATGAAACAATGATATTATGATCGATGACAATTTATTGTGCATTCGATACTCTTATCCATCGGAGCCAGGTATTATTCCATTATAATATTGAATGCAATTTACGTCGATACACGAAGACATTACATTCCACGATTCCACGCTGAACTATGGATATGCTTCTAACGAAACGAGTAATTTCATCAAATGTCGTGCAACGATGCTATGGATGGCTATAGAAGAATATGTCACGAGGTACTACAAACAGATTGTCCTATTCCGATGATTCTTCGAGCACCACTCCATGCCATCCACTTGTAGAACACGTGCTTTATTAGCAAAAGGTGTTCTATTACGTGCAACTTCGATTAAAGTATTAAAGTTCAAATAAAGACTTATTTAACGCTAGATTTGTAGTATGAAATCTAAACTACGCTATAATATATATAGATAATTATGAGAATAATGATACGATACGTTCCAAAATAAATGACTTAAGAAAGTCATTATATCGTTATTATTTTTCTGAACATCACTGAGATCATCGAGACATAGAATCGCATTGTAAATGGAATTAAATATCCCATTATGAAAATCATCATTAACCAATACCTTACAAACTTGAGTATCTGTATTATAGTCCGAATTATTATATATCGAATTCATTGTTCAATGAAAAATTTGTCTCGAAAGGGTTAAAGTGGATGTAAATCCCATTTAGATAAAAGTCAACATTAATTTCGCTAAAACCACCATGTATTTAGTAATTGTAGGAAACGTTCACTCCGAAATTCGATAATTCTAACTTTAAGAATATCGCTTCTAATTTAATATCAATTTAAACTTATACTTTCATTATTCGCATATGCGGTTGTCGTTTACATGACAAATACCGTGTATTTCGTGTCACCTAATCGTCGACAAAACGACGAGGAATAAAGAAGATCGTGAAAAATGGTTTCTAGATTTGTATGAGCTGGTCCGCGTGAAAAGCGTCAATATGTCAAAAGAAAGTGACCCTTCAGGTGTTAAAATAGGAATCCGCCCAATGCAGCCACTTGCTGACCATAAAGCGTCGTGTGTCCCTTGAACGACATCCATGAATTTCATTCACGATACAATTTTCAAGTATGTACACTATACTGTCTGACAGGAAGCGAGTATCGATCTTCTTTTTTATCATGGACACATCATAGCCAAGCTGACAGAGTTACTTCGTCAGACATTCCAGTTACGGGAGCACGTGCACATTACCCAGCAAGGATACTAGTCAAGAGTCAAAGATATTTCGGTCGGTATGACACACCGAGATCCGAATGGACGGTGTCGCGAAGTTTGAGAGACGGCTTGACTTTGCGTTGGCAAAGTTCAAACGAACGGATTTTCGTTCCGTCGCGTCGTTGGCCGAAACGCGTGCACTAAGATCTGGTCACTGCCTTTTGCTAAGAACAAATGTAGAAGTACACGTCGTGTCGTCTTCGAAGGATTATAATTGGCGATGGGACCGATAGACTGTTTTATGTTACTGATACGATGAAATAATTCGCAAAATTTGCATAAACGCAACGTCATTGGAAGATACGAATAAAGTAACTTAATCATCTTATCAAAGTAAACGAAACCGTAAAAAGAAGTAAAAGAATAACAGGCACTAGACAGAAGTCCACTACAGAAATCAAAAGTGTAAAGGAAAGATTCTATACTCTGAAGAAGATTTATATCCTGATGCTATCGATATTTCAATATTTTCAAATCTTATTATTGCAAAAGATAGGAAATGAAAGAAGAGACAATGACTAAAAAAAATACTAAGCGAATGCTTGGCAATCCTTTTCACAATCACAATGTAAAAATCCAAAATTCGATAATGTCAATTAACTGAAAAAGGTTACGAGTGACAAGTTGCGTGAATGCAACATTCGTCCTTAATAGTTAATAGCATAATTTATACGGATACTGTTATTTTCCATCGAAATGACCGCGTATTACACAGTTACGTTCGTAGAAATGTCAAACGTGTGCCGCACATTGATTGACTCGAGTTGTTCGAGCTATTTGGCACAAAATAACTCTTCGCGGATCAACATTGACGTTATCGATTTGCTGGAACTTCTGTCTCTAGCCGCGACTACCGACCATACTCGTTCCGCAAGAAAGGAACGTTCGGATGAATTTCACGAGGTTACGAGACGAGTAACGAGAGAAACGACGAAACGAATGATAGAACGTGACTAAAGATCAAGATAACGGTTCTTCAAACTGTTCTTCGCCAAACTTCCATTTCCATATAGCTGCGATTATCTGCTTCTTACAGGAATGTTTGGGAATTTCAGAAGAAATATCAGAGACTATAATCAAGATAAATCACGTAATCGAGAGAAACGCGGATTTAATCGCGTACACAGTGTCGGCAGAGATACATATACTTACAAGTTTGTTTTTTATTCTCATTGAATATTTCATGATGAAGAAACGTTAAAAAGCTTTGATATTGAACATATCCGATCATCGAACGGTAAAGACAGTGATATATACTTTTTGTCCCCATTGCCTCGAAAATAGACGAGGAATTGAATCGAGCTGGCCGACCACGAGTCTATAGAACAGAAACCGAGAAATCGAGTGGATCCGCATGCATTATGGAGTACGGTGCAAAGGATAGCAGGGCGCAAGCAAAGGTGGTTACATTGATATTCCAACTACGTGGATTTATTTCTGCTCGTGGGTAACTTAATCAACATTAACGATGAGAAAGTGTAGACATTCTTTTCTCCTCAATCATACAGTCAGGGAGAGGTAGTCGAGCAAAGGGAGGGAAAATTAAAACGTGAACCAATCCGAATAAGGAATTTAAAAGTTAAAAAACTTGGCCCGTGACTACGTAAATGGAAACGTTCCCGAAACAATTCGAGCGACTTTCATGCGTCTTATTCGTGATCGTTACTCAACCACTGATCATGAAAATACGACACAGAAGAGAAACGCGTCGATACATATTTTAATGCTGACCTATAGGACTAACCGCAAGAATTGTATGTTATCGTGAAACCGCCACCACGTACCGTTGACCTTTCGTAGATCGATTTCTTACAAATAGAACGGAATTCTTTCTAAAGACGATCGTCATGTGGTACATCTAGTGTTTTAAAACGAATATACAGGTTATGTTTGAAGAAGAACAAGGAATTGAGTGAATCAAGTTATGCATCATTACTACTCCTATTTCGAAACTCATATTGGAATTATTAGGAACTGCGAAGTTAATAATAATACACAATAATAGATAGTAGAATGAATTGAAAGAAATTCTGATGAAAGTAATGATAATGGTTACGTTAAACGTGGCTTAAAATGGCTACATTTTTCACGCGAATATAACTGAGGTATACAGGTGTATCTAACATAATTCTTTGAAAGATAACATATTGATCGGGGACAATGTAATAAATATTATATCGCGTAAAAAACGAAGAAATTGCAGGTAATTTAAATAATGTAATACCAAAAGTCGTAATACAAAGTGAAACATCAGTTGATGCAGTAAAACAACGAATTAAACGATGAGACGATAGTTCATAAAAAATAAAGGTGTGAAAGTTCAATATCCCGATCAATGTATGCCGACGTACTTCGTGTGAAAATATGATTGACATACATGCATATGTAATACATTACGCCTACCGTTACATCATCTGTGGCATGTGTTCTCAGCAGTAGTGTTAGCAACCGTGGAATGAAGGTCACGAAGTAGTTGACGTGACAATGACCCATTCTGTTCGTTATGTTCAATTTTTGTTTCACACCCGTTTTTTACTAATTATCCTCGACAATGATAATGAGCGTAAATATTATCACTCCAAAGAGATTAAAAAGATGTCTAAAAAATAAGCAATATTTGAGTATTGTTACAAGATAATGGATGGAACATATTTGATAACTAGTTAAGGACAATTGAACGAATACAAAATGAGTAACGATAACGCCGCGTGATATGGTATTTTTATTCATGAATGCACGTGTACTTTATTTTCAACGCTGCTCGTAGTCAGTTTTACAGCCATATTCCAATTCATTATTTATCCAACTGAATTGCAAATATGATTCATGCTATCGCGATTTATTATTGTTGCTTTTCGATATATCGTGTAGGTATAGATAAACGAATATAGCCACTCTAAAAACATTTCTCCAGCCGAGACAATAAAAATACATGTTTATTGGAATAAAAAAATTATTGGAATTTTCTAGACTACTTAATGAAGCACGTGTAAATACGTATACGTAATACGTGTTTCGAATACAAAGAGAAATGATTTCAGCTGGCTTTACGTATTTATAATATATAATCCTATAAGTAATATGAAGAAGGCAATCAATCATATTCTATAATAATAAAAAAAAAACAAATAAATATCTTTTAATAATTGCCGATCCGTATGAGTATCAATGTATTTTCTCGTACCTTCGATACCCTCGCTGGATACATTCGGTTAATATAACGTTAACGGAATGACCAGGGATCGATTTCAGGACGAAAACGTCGTTCCAAAGAAACGGTATGACAAATGCATGGGAGCCGTCGGCCGAAGAGACTCCTAAGACCACAACACGTTCAAGCACAGTGCTGCTATTATCTGGTCTGTTTGTCCGAATATATCATAGGTCACGGTATAAAGACGAAACTGCCCTTCGAGATAATCGCAAACGGCGAGCATCGCGACAACGCCTCGTCTCGCGGTGATAACGCGATGGAAATTATCGACCCCGGTTCACCGACGGGGGTTTGTTTTGAACGTGCATCCTCGCGCACCAGCCGTCGCCAATAACGACGATAGAACAGGGCAAGCCTTTCCACGACGGTGGCGACGGCGTCGTCAACCGAATTCCCGGAAACGATTATTACAGAAAGCACACGTACGAGATAACAGGTTGCTGCCGAAACACGAGCCACGTATCAGGCAAACGTGCGTTTCGTATTATACACGACACGACCACGACACGAGACAATCTTCTTCGAGAGCGCGCGCATCGCCCATTGTTTCGACGCGGTGGCGGTGATATGGGTAAAAGCGACCGGATAAATGGCGACTTTCCCCCCACCGCTGTGTCGCGACCGCCTCACGGGTTGTAAATCTCACGCGACACGCTGAAACGCACGCGTTCACCGTACCAGTATACCAAACGTTCAAATAACGAATAAAATCCGTCTAAGGCACAGAAACTGATTGACAAATTTCGCCGACAAAATACCTCCGACCGAATCTAATATATAAACTTGTACTCACCCTGTGACCAGATTCCTCGAGTCGCTGCCTCTTGGAGTGTGGTCCGTCTCCGTTAAACGCCATCCTAGGGTTCGACACCGGACAATTTAGTTTTAAAAGCGGGGCACTCAGTGCTACGACGACACGTCCGTGTGTATACCGCGCGGCTCTCTACCGTGTCGACGATCTCGTGCGCGGGCGGGGGAGGGGGGAGGAAGGAGAAAATAATCGGTAGGACACGACGCGAACGCGACGAGAACAGACAAACGCGCGAGAGCGGCTTAAGGGAAACTGGATCGCGATGTTGCTGGAGAGGAACGTCTCTGCCCCTAACGAAGTAGCCGGCCACCGCAGCGCTACCTACCGACGCCACTATTCGAATACTGACGGTATGATCTTTAAGGTGGAATCGCGCGCATGCGCGTCTATCCGCTGCCCCACTCTCCCATTGGTCGGCCTATCGTTGCTCGCGTCGTATATTCGAATAATAAAATTACCATTAAATAACAAGTCAAAAGAACATTTGCAAAGAATATTGCAATTTTTATAATGTGATTTTCTTAAAAGTCGTTATTATCGAAGAACAGAAAATTGAAATAGTACATTATTTATCGACGATTATAATTCAGTGATATTGTCCAATCAAAGGCACATCGTAATCTGGAGCAACTTTGATTCGTGGACGCGGGAAGTGCAATAGTATGGACACTTACAGCGATTGAAGAAGGAAAAATTCAAGGTAGGATTTATCGGAAAATAATTCGAAACTTTAAACTGACTAGTTATTTTTCCTAGACATTAATACTAAATTTCGAGGTGACAATCTACTATCGAACACCGGTTTCAGTGTTGGTGTCAAACTTTTTTCGGACAGAAATAGAAATCTGTCATACAGCACTATGGTTTCCACTAATGGCGCCAACATCATTCGAAGCGATCCAAATATTATAACTTGTTCCCACCGATTTAACAGGTTATTTATTTCTAAGTTATTAATATCAGATTCTTGCGGCTGCAAATAAGCGTCAAAATTTGCAGTAGCTACGCTACAATACCTGAAATAGAGATATTTGTATATACTTGTACATTCGTTGCTGCTTATTTAATTTTCAGTTATGAGATGTTAGTAACTTAACTGTTCAAATGTCATTCCTTTCGATACTTTAACATTCCTGAATTGACTATGACGTAATTTTTCATTTTTTTTTACTAAAATAGTTTCTAAAGCTGCTCTATAAGTGTGTACCTGAAACAAATAATTCAGTTAATAATACTTATTCAAATATGTACATGTTTACCAATTCACTTAACTATTAAATCTTCATAATTTCCATTCTTTAATTTGTCACAATATTTTTCAATAGCGTGGCAAGCTACTTCTAATGCTGTATAAGTTAACAAATGATTTTTATGTGCTAACAGATACTGGCTAAGTGGATAACCCTTTAATTCTCTTGTCTCTGATCTAGAAAATCAATTATTATAGTACATAATATTAAAGAAAAAGGTCTTATAAGAAAATATACGAACTGTATCGTTAGTTTCATATAACAACATCCTACGATACAAATAAATTTGGCTTCGCTTCTAGATGAGTAAAACTTCAATAATATAGGAGCTAGATCACCACAAGGATGAAGTCCTATCAGACCAAATTCAGTTTCTGTTTCGCTTAAACCGAATTCATTCTGAAACAATTCTTTTAATCGATTAACTAACTCTGATTCTACTAAACTCGAAGATTCTAATTTAGCTGTAAAATGTTGAGGACGCTTTTGATGGAAATTAGGTATGTGTTTTCTTATAGACGTCAATAATTCCTGATCCCATTTCCTGCAATAAAACTATTATTAGCATCGACTATAATGATATTGTACCATAGCAATTTGCATACCTAGCTTGTTGCAATAGTATACAATCTTGTTCGATGCAAGTAACGTTTAATCCATATTGGAACGCTAGGATACGAGCTAAATGACCCATTCCAGATCCAATATCAATGATACATTTACAGCTAGCTTCGTAGGCACAGCCTGCACATACTTCAGCTATTTCGTGTATCTCGTATCTCTTTTTCTTCTTTATATGTTTTGAAAACAGGTTATTAAATTTCTTATCCTGGGAGTATAACTTGTCAAATGTATCATTTCTGCTAGTTTTACAAATTTTGTCATTGTTATTTGTTATTACTTTATTGAATTCACAAGTTAAAGTACTTTTTGGATCTTCGTGATCTCTATTTACTTGCAAAATATTAGCCACTTGACGAAGTGCAAGCAATGTTAAGGGCCATACACGTGTGCTGTAATACAATTAAAAAGATTGTAGAATAATATGTAAAACAACAGGTAATCAAGTTCGAACGGTATAGTATCGGTACTCACCACGAGATGTCTCCCGATAACCATTTACCGAATTCTCGAGGAGGAGTATCTTGTAATGCAAACCTCCAACTTCCCGGTAATTTGTCCCATAACTCGTCTTGGAAAAAATCCTGTATTAAAAAAAAAGTAGTAGAGTCATTAAAGTTCTACGACTCGATGAAGATAACGACACGCGTTTGGAAACACACGTCTGTAGCTATATCGAATTAACCCGAACAAATACGACACTATAGAAGATGATGGTACGAGATAAATTTCTAATGTTACATACCACGACATAAGAGTTCAATAGCCAACCGTATACATCTAAAACGCAAAATATTTGGTCAATCGTGACACGAATTCCGGTACACACTTTACATGTGCACCGAATGTCAGTAGGTGCGGCCATCGTTGCAATGAAATAGCCGCGTAAATTTGACTGATCGTTCCACGTGATTCTAATTCTGTCATAAAATTATCATTTCTAGAATTCATTTATTAATACTAAAATTTATCTCTAAGTAGTTAACTCTCGATAAGTAACTTTTATCGATTAGTAATTATTAGTAATTTATATGTGTATATGTACACGTAAAATCAATGTGTTATATCTTATTTTCATATCTATCATTAGATAAGTCTTTCAATTTTAAATTATTTATAATATCCCACGCTATACAAGATTTTAAAATGTACTCTTTACGATGGAAATAGAAAGCGCAGTGAATATAACACCGGTCACAAATACTTTTTGTTTATACCGTATATACTGTCTAATTATATAACACAGTTATGAGAATATGCATACATAGGTGCGAATGATACAGCTAATATAAGAAACTTCGCTGAAAGGAAAGTCAACGATAATAAGAAAAATATCGAACCGGCTGTCGCAAAAAGAGCGAAGTAAACGATTTAGATTTTTTGCTCCTAGCCATGATATATCGAGCAAACGATACCAGGAAACGATCAACTAGATCGAAAGCAATTTTCTCACGGAGACGCGTAAAATTTTAATATATCAGCCAAGGTCTTATGAAACGGCGAACCGTCTTCCGCCGCTTCAATACAAAAGGCAAAGGAAATGAGAACCGTTTGTTTGCTTTATTTATTAATTAAAAGATCGGGCGCTATTCTTGCCATGTCCCACTTTACGGCACTTTCACTCTTCAACAGTTACGTTATTGCTCATGAGCGCAGTGCTCTCCGAGAACTACATATATACCCACAGACTGTACGGCCGTAGATCGAGAACCATATCATCTGCCACTCTATATCTCTGGACTTTCATGAGAACCCAGCAGCTACGACTCGTGCAATTCACTTCTAAATGTTGTTTCACAAACTACTGTTGCAATTATTGCTAAACGCCATAATAAACCCGTCTCCTTACGCTTGCCTTATTTATCCATCTCCAATCGTTTTCAGAAAATTAACTTCGAACGATTCTGCACAGTTTTCCTCTCATGCGTGAATTTTACGAAACCAGCAATCGTATCGTTTTATGTTATTCCCTTGATAAAAATTCAGTAATATAAAAGTTTTTTGTCTACATGAATAAATAGTCTTATTTACAAAAGATGTGTCTTTACGGAGTTAGAAATCACTGACCATTCGATTCTTTGCTCATCGTGTTCGAATCTCTCGGTCGTTGTTTGGACCTCTTACGCCAACGTAAGTGAAAGTTTTCAAGTAGGACGAGCGAGACGTCGAATCTCGACGGTGCGTGGATATTCGCTAAATACTCGTCTTTGTTGCTGGATGCTGGTCCACTGAAATCGTTAAATGTCAATGTACTCTGACAGTACCTGTTGTCTAATTTCCAAATCGATTTGCTCTCTCTCGAGCCTCGGGAGAAAACGAATTTCTGTTACATCCTTGTGTCATTAAAGTTCAGAGGTAAAGACGAGGTTATAGGGAATCAATCTAAACGAATCTATCTCAGATCAGATGAATCAGTCTGGAATGCGCGTTACGCAAGTATGAGAATTTTGCATCATCAGAGCTTTTGCAACTAAGGGTTTTACCAGGTCATCCTCATTTAACTGGTATTCTAGATTTCTGCCTTTCACAGCAAACTCAGCGCAATTTACGGAAAAAGAGTGCACGCGATCTTTTCACGTGGGATAAACTTGTTGGAAAATCTCGGACTATTTCTATTACGGAAAGGAAAACTACGTAATCGTAGCAAAACTAAAAACAAAACAGCTAGGAATGAAACGAACGTAACGAAAAATGTATAAGGCAATTACGTGAGTTTTAAAGTTTCGATTCATTAAGCGATGTAATTACGTAATTCTTAGTACCTAGGTTTGGGAAACTCGCAACTGAATATAAAATTACAATATCATTAAAGAACAGAGTGAAATGATGTCAAAGTAACAACGAATCATCATCGTTACAATACAGTAGAATTAAGAAATTATCAAGTCAAAGAAAGGCTGTTGGTACATGGTAAAAGTGATCGCTAGAATTTGCTTATCGCCGTGAAAGAGAGGTCATTAGACAGACGCAGGAAATGATTTGTTCGTAAGAAATCGTTCGCTCGGAACCGCTTTAAACTTTTAGCGAAAGTAATGACAAGTGTATGTAAACGTGAGTGTACGTGTAAGTTGCCATGCTCCGGAGGCGGTAGTCTTTCACCAAATAATTCGGTGTGCACCATGCCAGTAGCGGACACGGCCTTCTCCTAGAAGAAAGGAAGGTTTCGGTTTCGATAGGCCTTGGAGGTCGACGGAAAAGTAACGCTCGTTTAATATAATCATCTTCCTTTCCTTTCGATCGGCAGACGGATTTAAAGAAAGTCGACAACGACTTCGCCCGTTCCTCCCTTCTCCGTCGTTGTCTCCTCTTGCTGGAACCTTCCTTTTTTTTTCTTTTCTTTTTTTCGTCTTGAACCGCGTCTGTATGTCCTACACGCGAAAGGTTGAAACGTTGCTTTACACTAGCCGCGCAAAGTGTATGTAGCCACCAGAGTCAGAGAAAGGTGCCCCACCGTATTCGATATTAGAGAGGAGCTTCTTGAAGCGTTCTGTGGTGGTGGCATCAGGTAGGGAGAAACAGGCCTCTGGGCCCAATCTGTCCTCAGTTCCCGTACGAAGCTCCATCCAATATCTTTCAGTACATGCCCGGTCCTACGGATATCATGTTGCCTATCGCGAGTTAGCCGCTCTTCATTAAAGTCAAACACGTGAAACCGGTGAAGTGTGACACGATCATCCAGAAAAAAAGAAGCCGAACGAGTAACTGATTTGGACACACCATGCGCTTCTTTAAACTGGTAATTATATAAAAGATCGTGCCTCCTCGAGAAAATTCCCGGGAACCGGTGAAACTCTCCGCCGAGAGTGTTGTATTAATAGGCTAAATAGCTGATTTCAGAGAACGCGCCCGCTTGTACTTTCATCGTAATAACCATGTCTCGTTTCTTACTTACGGGAAACGTTCGACGCGGTTCTATCATTTGTAATCAGTCAGCGTATCGCCTTTGGCTACTTAGCGAGGGAAAGTATTGTATATCGGATTAGCGACGCGTTTATGTATGCTCAATTAATAGCTCGTAACGTATTTTTCTTTTCTTTTTTGGCTAATCTATGAATTTCAAATTCTACGAAAAAGTTCTAACGAGATACGTGTTCTAACGAGCTCGCACTATACCGTTCAATTTGGTCGGCGCTTAGCATGAAAACCATGTAAATGAATTCATTTCGTCCGCGTACGTCGAGTACGAGTTTTCTTTTTGTTCGAAGAATATTAAGAAGTCGCCGCGCTTTAGGAGAGTCACCGAATTCTCCAGGTGAAACGCGCACGCCATTGAATCTAAAACCTAAATTTTCTCTCCTTCTTTCTCTCTATGGCCATGTAAAGCAAGCGACAAGAATTTCTGTTCTATTCGCGCAATTTAAACTCGAGAAACATCCTATATCCGATACGTGCTGTAACTCGGTCTCGCCATATCGGGAACACGATCGCGGCTGGGAATCGCTTATCAGGGTAGCAGTAACTGTCCATTCGGCGACGCTAGAATACCAATCGATTGGCCTTTTAAGGCCTTACAGGATGTTTCTTCTTGTTTATTAATCGGGTCACTCGGTTACCCACGCGCGATCAATGTTTCCACAAATGCGTTCTGCCTGTGTACGCAGATACATGCCATTTGGTTCCTCTTGTTTTCATGTTCCGATAGAGATTCGCATTTCCAGATTGTCACGATAATAGCGCTCTTCGTCGTTGCGACCTTTGCCAAAGATGAGTCCTCGAAAAGCCGCGATAAGAGGCAACAGGTTGCATTCTATCCGAGAAGAGGAGCCAGACCGCCACCCTATGCCGTCCAAATGGAACCAATCGTTCAATATTCTCAGAGAGATCCGCTCTACAATCCTTTGGCAAGCTCCAAGAGCGACGATCTTTACGAAGAGGGTCCGTTGAATTATTATCCGACGGAACCGGAGCCTATCATCGAAATTATCATCAAGGAATCCAACGAAACGTTGCCGACACCGGTACCCCCACCACCTCCTCCACCGCCAAGACCTACGAAAGAGCCTATACAAGTGTTTTATGTGAAATACGAGAAAAAGAAAGGTTACGGGGATAAGTCTCGAGTCGTCTACGATCCACCCGTGCCTGCGCTAACACCTGTCGAGGAACACGAGGAGATCAAGCCAGATAACCCAGCGCCTTACCCGGAAGAACCTGTTCACACGGCGACACCGGCACCGTCAGAACCGTCTACGACTTTGAGAGCTATCATTCGACCCGACAGTGAAGTGTACCATTCTGGTTCTAGCGGTATTCGCGTCACCTTCGGCACCGATCAAGTACCTCCGAACAATCATCATAAGCGTAGCGATTTGGAAGCGCCGCCGACCCAACAACAGGCCAAGCCGACTTCTACCCCTCCAGGATCACCTAAACGACAACATGGTCCGTATCAACCGATACAACCGGTCCATCAGAGAGTTCCACCACCATTTCCACAGCAGAGAATCGCCAACTCTTTTCCACAACAGCAGGCACTCCATCAACCTCTCCAACAGCAACCGCCTCCTAATTTCTTGCAGCAACAGCCGTCCTTCTCGTCTCCGCCGCAAGCGAGGAGTCCGTTGCAAAGACCTCAACGATTGCCTATAACGATTCAAGGTCTACCAGATGTACAACAACGAGCGCCGTTCAATACTTTCGGTACATCTCATCGCGTCAACATTAACCACCCACAACAACCAGGGTTCCCACCTACGTTGTCGGTTTCCCATCAAAACGTGCAGGTACAAAATCAACCTTTACCACCGAACCAGGGCAGTCCTTTCAACGTGGAACAACAGCCGCAGCAGCCACCTTTGTCCTCGTATAAACAACAAGAATTAGAAAAACAAAGGTATCACGAGCAACGTCGTCAACAGGAATTGCTAAAGCATCGCGAACATCAGAGGCAACACGAGCAACA